TCTGGAGAACAGGCTGGCCTCGAACTCACAGCAATCCACCTGCCTCTGCCTCCCGAGTGCTGGGATTAAAGGTGTGCGCCACCAATGTCCGGCTATTTCTTGACTTTTTTTAAAAGTGTTTTCGAGACTCTTGTTGGGGGCAAAATGTTGCTAAAGGAAACTTCATTTAAATTCCTGTTTCCAAAGAAAACACGCCTCATACCAAGACACACATCCTATGTGTAGATTCACTGTGTTGCTGGGAACTCAACCTCTTTGTGGGTCTTTACTGAGGATCCCAGTGTCCTCAGCTCCCCTGTGAAACCGAGTCTCCTGGAGTCTGGATTGAGCACAGCGAGTCTTTCACAGGAAGGGACAGGAGGCCACCTTGGCTGTGGCTGCGGTCCCTGTGAACCATGTGGGCAGTGTTCTCGCTGAGGAGCCTAAGGAACCAACCTTTTGAGGAACGCAGTGTTAAGGAATGTCTGGAATGTTTTTTAGCCCAGAGAGTTTCCTGGAAACCTGTATGGTCCCCGTGAAGAACGGGTAAAGCAGAGTTAAGCAAGACTGGTTCAGATCAGAGAGAGACGGAGGAAGTCATTACGATGAGGGACAAGAGTGTCTTCACTCAAGCATGAGCTGCAGCTTTAGAGCTCTGTCCATTCCAGCCATGGCCCACACATCAACCCCATCATCCCAGGCGGACGAGATGTTACAAAAAGCAAAAAACAGAGATTTTTTTTCCCTTTTTTCCACATTGGCCTTTAGAGTATATGAGTGGATGAGCAGCTATAATTTTACAGCATTCACAAATGCTATTTGTGGAATTGGGAAGTGATATTTCTAATTACCTTGTAAAGCTCTTACTGTATTTAAAAGTTTCTAAATGTCTATTTCTAGCTAGGTGCCCAGATGCATGTAGGCAGGACTATATAAGAGAATACATTTGACTTGAATGCTTCTTTTGCTTATGAGAGCCCAGAGCCTGCTACAGAGCAACACGCCATTTTAGTAGACATGGGTTCATTTAAAGTCACAGTTAAAGACACATTGACTTTGAATATTCTCTAGGTTGGATTTTACAAATTCTTTTGTGTGCATTCCATGGTGAGTCAGGGCAATCAGATGCACGTGTACATACCACTTAAATATCTTTATGAAGGAGTGTTGTGTGACCGTGGGAGACAAGACGTTTATGAAATAAATTTACCCTTTTACCTACTTGATGCTTTTTGCTATTTTCCAGTCTATTTTTCTTACTTCTTTTATAGAAAATTCAAAAGATTACAGTGCCTCATTTTATTTCCTTGCCCATAGGTCATGACTTGGAGTGTGAGAAACTCTGTTCTCTCCCGATCTCTAGCTATATAACTGTGTAAAGGAAAATATTGTTACAGTACATAATATGGGAGTGTCTTTGCAATGACTCAGGGAAATAAATGCTATGACAGAGTTCTGAATTTTGTTTCTGTCTTTTTAAAATAATATTTTCATTTATTATTCGAAATTTTTGTATGTGTGTACAGTCTATCTTGATAATAGTCACCTCAACTCTCCCTCTATACTGCTTTCCTGGAGCTCCTCCTGTAGTATTGTAAACGAGGATAGTCTACTTAGGCTCATATATTTTCCTGCTTAGTCCGCACAGATGAACTGTTTGGGGAGGATTAGGAGGTGTGGCCTTGTTGGAGGAAGTGCCTCACTGTGGGGCAGGCTTTGAGGTTTCCTGATGGGGAATGTACTGTGCATGTTTATCTTATTGATTGTTGAATAAAACACTGTTTGGCCAATGAGACAGCAAGTTAGATGGGACTAGGAGTCAAAGAGGATTCTGGGAAATGTAGTAGAGAAGTGGTGATCCAGGCAGGAAGTGACATAGCAAGGAGACTCATATTTAAAGAAGGAGAAACAGGAAGCTGCCCACTTTCTTTTCCCCTCCGCTCCTGCTCCAACAGCACAATGTGATCCACCGGCAAGGAGGGACGCCAATAAAGCGTCCGATAAGATAAGTCTTATAAAGACTTCCTGTTGCCTGCAGGATGTAGCACTCTTAGCTCCAGCACTACATCAGCCTGCATGCCTCCCTTCATGACGATAATGGAACCTCTGAAACTGTAATCAAGTCACCCCATTAAATGTTTTCCTTATAAGAGTTGCTGTGGTCATGGTGTCTCTTCACAGCAATAGAAATCCTAAGACATACAAGCAAAGGAAAGTCAGCAAAACAATAACAAGCCAAAAAACAAAAACAAAAACAAAAACAAAAACAAACAAAAAACTTAGCTTTTGTGGTCCAAATAGGTATCTGCAAAGGGTAATTATTTAAAGAAACTTCGCAAAAAACTTAGCTTTTGAAGTTGTGGTCCAAATAGGTATCTGCAAAGGGTAATTATTTAAAGAAACTTCGTGGTGATTTTATTTGTGAAAAATATATCCTGTAATTTAAAGTCTGTCTCCCCACTTCTGGGGACTTTTATTCATCAATGGTAATGGTCTGGTTAGAACCCCTAGAGTTGAGGACACAGAGAAGATTACCTTTGAAATAGGTCATATATTTTCCCTTCACATATGGTTCATAAATGCTAATTTTTGTATATGGAATTGAATTTGAATGGGGTCTGTCCTGCCTGTATTTCTTGATAATGCTAAGTTCATGCATTACACTGAGAGAGAGGGAAAGATATTATTTTTATTATAACTTTTCTTTATTCTTAATAATTTCATACATGTAACACATGTGTACAATGAAAAATAACCATATCTGCCTGTTCCCATTTCCCTCCTCCAACTCCCTCCCCATCTCTCCCAACATGTACTCCTCCAACTTAATTATTTCCTCCTCCCCTTTTCCTCCTCCCCTCCCCCTTCTTCCTCTTCGTCCTCCTCCTCCTTCTCCGATAGCTCATTAAATCCAGTCGGTGCTAGTCATGTGTATAGGTATGATGTGTGTGCTGGAGTATGGGAACTCTACCAGTAGGCCCACTCTCAAATGGTAAGGATTCCTTCTCCCCAAACATCTATCAACTGCTGCTAGCTGTTAGTAAAAAGTGGGGCCTGAAAGGCACCCCACATCTGCGCTGGCATCTTAGTTGGCTTCATCTTGTGCAGATAATCATGGCGGCTGTGAGTTCATGAGTGTGAGAGCCATATCATGCTAGAAGACAGCATTTCACAGCACTCCTCCGCATCTTCCAAGGGTTCACTTTCTTCCAAGGTGCTCCCTGAGTCTTGCCAGGCTGGGTGAAGGGCTGGGGTCAGTTGGTAAGGATGCCCCACTTAAGACTGAGCACTCATCTCTTGGTCTCAGCACTTTGACCAGTTAAGCATCCCTGCACCAATGCTGCCCGTTGCAAAAGAAAAGAAAGTCTTTTTCTGGACAAGGTTGAGAGCAGCACAGATGTATAGGTAGGGACGTTTAACGGCATGAACACGGAGCAAAATAACAAGAGCAGGCTAAGTGTTACAGCCTACACCCTTGCCAGACATAGGCTTTTTAATCAGTATTTTGGTGCCGGTGTGGCATGCCCTCCTGTAGAGCAGGTCTCAAATTCAGTAAGAAGGTGGTGACTTTCCCCATAACAATCATGCCCCTAGCCTTACAGGAGCTACTGAAGGATGCAGAGTCCAGCACTGCGCAAACATACTTTCTCCTCCAACAGCCTGCACGGCACTTTCTGGCACTATGAAAGCAAGTCTTCAGGGTGGAAGTTTCCTGGTCTGTTTGAGAGAAAGAGACATATTTTAAAAATCTAAAGACAGCAAACTAGATTCCCAGGTTGTCTTAGTTAGGGTTTCTATTGCCGCGAAGAGATACTATGACCATAACAACTCTTATAAGGGAAAACACTTAACTGGGAGGCTTACAGTTTCAGAGATTTGGTCCATTATCATGGTGAGACAGGGCAGCATGCAGGCAGACGTGGTGCAGGAGGAGATAAGCGTTCTACATCTTCATCTGCAGGCACAAAATGGACAGTGAACTGTCTCCCTGGGAGTAGCTTGAGCATAAGAGACCTTAAAGCCTACCGCCACAGTGACACACTGCCTTCAACAAGGACATGCCTATTCCAATAAAGCCACACCTCATAATAGTGCCACTCCCTTTGGAGGCCATTTTCTTTCAAACCACCACACAGGCGTTCTAATAGAGTTACTGTTTAAGGATTTCTCCACCAGGGCTGGATCCTCTCTCAGTGTCTGGTTGCATGGTGTTCCTTACAAACTCCTTCCTCAGTCTTGGATGGGCAACTGGAGCGAAAAGCTTTCAGTAGGCCCCGTCGCCCTATTTGCAAGGCTTTCTTCATATGCCTTTTATAACTTTGCCTATCAACTCCTGCCTCCTCCCTAAGACCCTCAGAGAACAGTCATGGCAGTGTGTTTATCCTGCTGCATCCCTAAGCTAACATGGTAGGCTGGCAGTATTGTTTTAGTTTCCATCACAATGTGTTGAGGGAAAGCATATATGAATGAACAAACATTAAACCAATTACTTGCTCTGACTTGAAGGACTATTTAAGGGTCAACCTTCCCTGTTGGCCTGGCACAGGGTAGAAAAAGTGCCAGGGGGCTTCTGGATCACCCCCACCTAAGCCAGGAGGTTTCATAGTTCCAGGAGGCTTCTGGCCATATCTAAGCACAGCCCCAACTCCACAGGCAGATCCCGGGATCTCTGAGAATGATGCTTACTTGCAAGTAGAAATGGCTGGCTCAGCATTTGGAAAGTTCTAGAATCAACAAATCTGGTGATATCCAAAGTCTGAAAGGAAAAGGAAAATGCAAGTCTTTTCTTTTTCTTATCTTCTCCAAATGGCTTGTGACCAATATTTCTCTACTGAGAAAGGAAATAATTTTACAGGTTGATACTTACAGACAACCTTGTCTGCATGAATTTCATCAGCTAAGATACAAACAGGGAGACTCCAGTCCTGAAATGCTAAGTAGAATTCATCAGAGATCAGAAAGGAATTCTTGTTTGACCAGGCAGGTTCAACCAACAGTGACTGTCCTAAGGATTTAGTTAAGCCACGTGCAGTTGTCATGTTAGTTAGTGGGTCAACAAGATCAAATACCAGCATTTTTCTACAGTTCAGCATAGCACAGTTCAGGTAGGTGTAGGCAGGTCACCCCAGCACTCCAAAGGAGTCAGGACTGAATCCTACTGACAGGAAGTCTGTTGGGACATCAGGCCTTTGGGGAGAGCTAAGCACAGAGAAAATATGAATGCCACACCATTGCCTTAATAGTTTCATTGCCACAAGATGTTTGAAGAGAAAAACAGAAAAGAACTCGTTTGGGAAATGCTGGAAACAATGTCTTGCTTTGAAAGTTTTTAAGTTCTGAAAATGTAGCTCACAGTCTGTATGCTGAAGACTCCAAATGGCTCCACAGTAAAAGAAACCACTCAGCCTTGTTTAACCAAGGATATTAATTAGACTCACAAAGGCATGTCTAGTTTACAGTTGGCAATTCAGAACTAGGGAGACCATTTGTGACCTGTGAGCCAAGGGCCTTAAGCCTCCCTCGGTCTTCACCACACAGAGGTCTCTGCCAGAGGCCCTCTTAATTCTTCTCTATTTCCTAAAAATGGGAAGAGGACAGAATTCCAGAATGTTCCATTCTCAGCACACCGGTTTCATTACACATATTTTATATTGAATTAGTGCCTATCGTTTATGATATGGTGATATGCTGTATATATCATATGGATTTTACATGAACTATCTTACACTTTTCATATCTCTTGTGTGTGACATTTCTCAAAGTGGGCCTCAGATGTGGGTGGGTTTGCTCCCATTTTATACACGGTCTTCAAAAATTTCAAATTTTGGTTCAAAGGCCATAGCTGAGATTAAATGATATCAGTGTGTTTAATTCTTTTGATCAAGTGACTTTCTAGGTGTAACCCTGGCTGTCCTGGAACTCACTTAGCAGACCAGGCAGGCCTTGAACTCACAGTGGTCTGCTTGCTTCTGCCTCCTAGTGCTGGGATTAAAGGTGTATGCCACCACGCCTGACAACCTTTTGGTCTTTTGAGACACCGTATCACATGGTAGATCAGGTTAGCCTGCAGCTCACTATGTTGCTCAGGTTGGCCTCAAACTCACAACAGTCCTCTCAGCCTTTTGTATGCTGGGATTGCAGGCAATGGCTCCCATACCCAGGTAATGCCAAATATTTATTCCTTCCACCGTGTTAATAAGATCTGACACTTAACATAATATTTAATACAAGCTGGGCACCAAGTTTTAATGGATTTAATTCATCATAAGTCATCAGAGGTGCTATTGCTGTCTCTACTTTCTGACTGGGAAAACAAGATGAAGAAATCAAGCAAGTGCTCAAGTTTCCACAGATGGAGAGAAGCAGGGGCAGAATTCAGATGAAGCTGCAGAGAGAGTGGCTGTGTGGCCAGGAAGGTCATCTAGCCAAGTTCCGTCCAGGATTTTCCAAACCCCATTGGCTGGGGAAGCATTATTTGTAGGTAACGCCTATGGTTGCAATAATTAGTTTCAGCAGACCTGGTTTGGAGTCACAGGACCAAGTTCTCTCTGGGTCTGTCTTGCTTTGCCCAGCCTGGGCTCTGTGTTCTCTACCCTCCCCTGACACACACACACACACACTTAGAGACCCCACAGTGTCTATTTTCTCCAGGCATCAGGGGCTCGATGTCAAAACTCGCAGCTTGCACATTTCTCCCTCAGACCTTATCATGGAATTAGAGACCCCACAGAGCCTATTTTCTCCAGGCATCAGGGGCTCTATGTCAAAACTCGCAGCTTGCACATTTCTCCCTCAGACCTTATCATGGAATAAAACCAATAGAATGTGTTTGCAAAGATTAATGTAAAAGAAATTACTTTAGGACCATCTCTTATCTACACAGAGAAAGCAATCTTTTGTGCTTTGAATATCTAAAAATTCTAAAAACCTCAAAGGTTTCTAATATTATGGAACTATTATTTGCAGTGTGAGTGGTGATTCTATGAAGGTCTTTTAAAATAATTGAGTTCAGCATAAGTCACCTTTAATTCTTGTATGGTTGGGTTGGGAGAAATCTAACATTTAGCAAGTGTTTTATATGGGCCAAGTATTCTGTCACAGGCTTTCCATAGACTCTCTTACTTCACAATAGTGTATGAGATGGAGAGAGTTGGTGTTCCCATCTTACAAAGAAACAAGTCAAGACATCAAGAGCTGAAGTAACTTGCTCCAGACCTGACTGCTCTGCACCACATGCTAGAACCAGAACACGAAGGGACGGCTTGGCCTTTTACTGCCCCCGACTGCTAAAGCTGTCAAGGTTTTGGCCTTGCACAAAGGCAGTAAGAGCCCCCAGGTTCTAACAAAGTAATCATTTACTTTGAAAACCCTCCATTAAAAGGAACACGACATCTACAAATGGTTTATCCTTGGGGAACCTTAGAAATCTGTCAACTGGAAATAAGATTCTAGAGGGGGAAACCCGAAAACCTTTAATTGCTCCAAGATGGTATGTTGGTTGGCAGCTCTGGCTCATCTTAAAAGGACATTTTTTGGAAGGTACAGCTGACATTTAACAAACATTATACGGGTTCTCATCCTCACAACATCTTTGGTGCCCTTTTTAGGTGTGATGCTGACTTGTTCTGTAACCTCTCTCTACGCTGCCAAAGCCAGTGCTGCCCACCCTAGGTACATTCTTTCTCTCATCAAGTGGGCTGTAAGCTCCTTTAGTTTCTCACAGAACTAAGGATTAATTTAGTATGTATGGACAGTAGAGGAGCAAAATCATTATCTCCTAAAATAATTTATTTTAGATGAATTTATAGATGTACAATGTTGATCTTGTTGTGTTACAAGACTTAAAGAGAGTCATTAAGAACTGTAAAGGGGCTTTCAGAACCTCAGGGAGGAGTTGGAGAGATGGCTCAGCAGTTAAGAGTTTGTACTGCTCCTGTGAAGGACCCTGTCAGTTTGCAACAGCTGTGTTGGATGGCTCCTAACTGCCTTTAACTCCAGCTCCAGGGTCCGATGGCTCCTCACGCATGCACACACATACTCACACACATGTACATACCCACACAAAGACACAGAAACATCAAAAGCAAAATCTGAATGTCTCAAAATCTAAAGTACCTGGAGGTTCTGATAGTTTTATTGCTTTCATTAACCATAACCTCAAATTGAGCATGACAGTAGCAGACTGTAATCCTAGCACTGAGGGGCTGAGGCAGGAAGACAGAAAGTCGGAGACAGAAAGCCTGGGTTACCCAGTGAGACCCTCTCTCAAAACACAACAAACAACAACGACACAACAAAAGGTAACGGTGACTGCATCAACACAAACAGACAAACGTCTATGGGTGGGCTTCTGAGGGGGAAAAAAGGATGAACGCGAATGGTAAAAGCTACTTTTGAACTTCCTTGATTTTTTAACTGATTGTGTGTCTGGTACATGTGGAAGTTACAGAATAGTTTTCAAGAGCCAGGTCTCTCTTTCCACCCTGGAAGCACAGGGGATCAAAGTGGAGTCGCCAGGCTCGGCAGTGACACCTTTCATCTGCTCGGCCATCCCACACACCCACACATCCATTATGTATGGATTTATTTTGTGTGTATGAGGGGTGTTTAAGCTACCAGGCATGAGCAAAGGCTCTCTGGAGTTCTGTTCTCTCTTCTTCCATGGAGATCATGGGAATTGAACTTCAGTCACCAGGTTTGCTAGTAAGTGCCTTAACCAACTGAGCCATCCAAACAGCCTTTCTTTTTGGTTTTTTAACTTAAAATTAACTTTTTGTGGGTTTTTTGTTTGTTTGTTTGTTTGGTTTTGGTTTTTCAAGACAGGGTTTCTCCGTGGCTTTGGAGGCTGTCCTG